AAATGACTTGGAAAATATCATTCCATTTGTTTTAATTGGCTTTTTTTATGTTAGCACTCGACCGAAATTTGATTATGCTCTTTGGCATTTTCGAATTTTTTTTCTTTCACGTATTCTATATACTATAGCTTATCAGGTACTTTTATCTATTGCTTTGTTTTAATATTGTTTGCTTAATACTCAAAACTATAGGCTCCATTACCTCAACCAACACGTACAATCTCGTGGCTACTAGGTTATTCAACTATTATTTCAATGACAATACCAATACTTCGTTCAATTCAAATCTAAATAAATCATCTGATCTGAACTCACCAGCTGAAAACAAAAACAAATGTTTCAAGAAGTAAATGATAAATAAACAAGGAAAAAAATTATTATAAAAAATGTCAAAAAAAAAAAAAAATCTTTTTTTAATTGAAACTTTTTAAAAACCATTTGAATTGTATGATGTCTCGGTAATAGACCTCTATGAATTTTTTCTTTTTCTGTTTTCTCTTTAAAAAAAAAATGAGGTAATTCAAATGGTACGCTCAATGGACCAATAAATTGATTTCATTTTGAACACAAAGAACGATACGCACTGTTGCATTATTATATAAATATTTCATTTTTTTTTTATTGTTGTTTACAGAGTGAAGGTTTTTATCATCATCATATAAATAGCCACATCACAAGCGATGTAATCGGTAGGACATAAGAATTATTCAAGTGTTCAACAAAAAAAAAGGAACACTTCTGTATATTTTACAACCTCATCTGATTAGATATATATATATTGTTATGTAAGAGAGATGAATAATAGCAATGTATCTATATGTATTTATATGTATTATCGACATGTCGAGGTTGACATAAGTCTGTAACTCTTATGGTATGTAAGATTATAACTAAGTTAGTATGATTGTCATTTCTTCTTGCCTTCATCATGTCATAAAAAAATAAGGTCATCTTCTGAGATTAAGATTTGGTTATACAAATAATCTTGTCTATTTTGTCATATCATTAATAAGATTTCAGTACGCATGTATTCATTTAATATAAGATATACATATACAGATATATTACATGAGATTCAGAGAAATTTAATATATCAAACATGTTTTTATCAAATGATAGTTTCGTCTTGTTCACATTTTTTTTCAATTAAAGATTGAATATAATGAAAATTGTACGTGTTTGTTTTATACCCGCCATTATCAATCCATCTATCATAATCTAATTATGCTGATTGCTTTTCTGTCCAGACAATGATAATGATTACTGATGGTCACGATCACATTGTTGGTCATTCACTGTCTACGACAAATACTTGTAATATGATGATCAATCATTATTAAAGAACATCGTATATAGTTTGATTGCATCATCGTAGCATGAGAGGTCAGGTCACAGATAGAGATCAAACTAATCGTTATTGGATGAACATAGCGTGACAGCTGTTATTCTCTGGTGACCCTGAGACGCATTCTTTTTGTTCCTTCGTTCTTTATTTCTCTCTCTCTCTCTCTCTCTTTCTCTCTTTCTCAATCATTGATAAATGAATGATACTTCTATTCACTTGTAGACCAGTATTTTGCCAATGAGAATGTTTGACTCGTACGAACATCAACAATCGTCACCTGCTACATCTCCATGTGATATAGAATCAATGGACGAAATTCCACCTCCAACAGCATCATCAATACTCTCGCTTAATGATGATCTCACCATATCAAATAGATTAAGTACAACAGCACCACAAAATTCAGTTACACTTCGATTCAAAGTTTGTTTCTTTTAATAAAATATCATTTTAATTTATTGTTTTCTATTAAAGAAAAAACGAAAACGTAAACTTGAATCCGATACAGTATCACTTCGTTCACTTGAAGATATTGTTGGTGATCATTTTCAACGACGAAAACGTTTATCATTACCACGTTTATCATCTGTATCAGAATTATTAAGTCCAATGTGTGATCGTGTAATAAATATGCTTCAAACAACCAAACAATCATCATCAGCTAATTTATTAAATCTTATTAATCATAATACAAATCATAATTCAACAATACGTCGTAAACCACAATCACAACAAACATCAAATAATGTACCATCACCAACAACAATAAAAAAATTTCGTGCAGCTTGGTCAGAAACATGTGATGGAGAAAAATTAAAACAAACAATGACAGCAACAGAAATTGAACGACAAAATGTTCTTTATGAATTATTTTCCGAAGAACAACAAATGATTGAAAATTTAGGTTTAGCACAACGAGTAAGAAAATTCAATTATAATAAAAGATGAAAAATCAAATTTTTATAGGTCTATCGTAATGGTATGAAAACATTAAATATTTTAACAGATTCTGAATTAAAACAAATATTTGGACCACTTGAAGATATATTACCATTACATGAAGGTAAAATTTTTATTTTTTAATATGAAAATAAATAAATTAAAAAATGAAATCTTATTTAATAGATCTTCTCTATCGATTAAAGCCAAAAGGTAATTCATCAATTGATGTTGTTGGTCAAATTTATCTTGAATGGGTATGATAACAGTTTCATTTTGTTTTTTTTTAATTGTTTTTGATTATTTTAATTAATTTAGTTTCAACGAATTCGTTCATCATATGTTTCCTATTGTTCGAATCTAATTAATGCAAAAGAATTATTAGATGCTAAACGATGTGAAGAAAATGGTCGTGTTGATGATTATCTTAAACGTTGTACTGATTCAGGTTTTAGTCGAAAACTTGATCTTTGGGATTTTCTTGGTTTGTTAAGATTTTATTACATTTTATTTTTTTATTAATAATCATTTTTGCTAGATCAACCACGTAGTCGTTTGATGAAATATCCAATTCTATTTAAACGTATTCATAAACGAGTAAGATACATTTTCTATGGCAGCTATATATAATAGAAAAACTAATCCATTTTCGTTTGTGTATACATAAAAAAATGTCTAATGAGAGAAGGTCTCCAAATTTGATGAATCGAATGTATATTAGTTTGTGGACTATGATCAAAACTATAAAAAAGTTCAGAAAAGTTCGTCGCCATTCTTTGTTTCTTAGAATATTGTACATTCAAAAAAATGATCATATATTGAGAGCAACAAGCAAAGTCATTTTTTTTTTCAACATTCAATATCTGAAGAAGGAAATATTCGTTTGAATTTTGAAAGTTTGAGGAGATTCAAATGACCATGAGAGCCATCTACGAACAAAAAAAAAATCCGTAATTTAGTTCTTGTATGTGAGCCTTAGTAGAGGTCAAATATCCGATAAAACAATTACAACCACAGTAGTACTAAATATAGGTACGAATTTTTCTAGGCTTTGTTTTTACTCGTGTCATTGTAGTCAACATATTGATATACATCCGATTCAATACGGTACGTCACACCTGTACATTTTCCCTTATAAGATTGATTCACATTTTTTAACTAATTCAAGAAAACAAACATTTGTCATTTTTCTCGAATAAAAAAAATGTGAAAAAAATAAATAAACTGTATTTAAATTGAGTGTTTTTTCTTTATTTAATTAATATTCTCAGACATACAGTAACATATATTTTCATTTTTTTTTTAGACTAAAGATGGACATGAAGATAAACGAATATTACTTGATACCGTGAGTAAATTGAATTGAAAGAAATGAAAAATAAAATAGCAATTTTTTGTTTTTGTTTTAAGATTAATATTGTTGAAGAACTTATAAATGATGTTAGTCAAGCGACATCAGCACAACTTTGCTCAAATGTTATTGCACGACTTGTTTATACGAATGATGATCAAGTAAGAAATTGTAATGAAATTTTTGTTTTTTCAAAATTTCTTTCTTTTAGAAACATTCATTAATTGAAAAACAAACACGTATTATATGTCAAGGTGAATTAAAAAATAATCGTGGCCATGTAAGATTTTTCTTTTTTTTTAGTTTTGATTTATTTTAAATTAAATTTATTTAAATAGAAATTACATGTATTTTTATTTGATGAAATACTTGTATTTACACGTATAGCAACTCGTAATGGTTTAAAATCTTATCAATTAACTAATTATCCTATACCTGTTCTATCATTAATTGTTGAAGACATTGAAGATGGTGTTAAAATCCCTGAATTATCATCTGGTAGTTTTTCACGTACATTAGCTGGATCAAAACCTGGTTTGTTTTTAATATAAGTCAATTACAAAAAAAAAACAATTGATGTTTTTTTTAATATTTTTAGCTCGTAATGTGTTTCGTTGTTCTTCATCATCGTCTACAGATAATAATAATAGTCGAAATACATCTATGTTATTACAAGCGCGTGATATGTATGATAAACAACAATGGTTAAGCGCATTTCGATCAATAACAACAATGAATAAACAATAATAATTAGATTAGTTTCTTCTTTTTTTTTTATATTTCTTTTTCTTTTTGTTTCACTTATTCAAACAGCAACACTTGTTCTGATATGATATAATTTTTTTTTGTTTGTTTGTTCTCTATGTATAGAAATCTTGTTTTTCTTTTTCTTTTTTCTATCGCCCTGTTTATCTTTTGACAAGAGATATAAATGACATCAATGAACAAAATAATATAGTAGATCTATGTTTTACATCTGCTTTTTTTTCTTGTTTGTTTTTAAAAAAAAAATATGTGGTTCTAAGAACAATATTAGTTGATATAAAGCTATTTGGAAAAAAAATTGCTTTTTATTTATTTTTTTGGTGTTTTTTTTTGTGGTGCAAGAGGAAGAGATAAAACATGTAGCTGCCTTTATCATACCGCAAGTGTCTACTTGAAGTCGTATCTTATGCCCCTCGCTATATTGTAATCATTTAACAGAATATTAAAAAAGAAAAAAAAAAGATATATATATATATATGTATGCTTAGTGATGGTCATATCACCAGTTGCAAAAAGTTGTAGATAAAGATAGAAGTATTCCTTGTTTATGTTGTATTGAATTTATGAAAATAATTTGTACGATGATTTAGTTTTTTAGATATGTCATCATCATCTACCTACAAATTAATTTATTTCGCCGGTCGTGGCTTAGCTGAAACATCTCGTATGTTGTTTAAAGCTGCTGGTCAAGATTTCGAAGATTATCGTTATCCAATTACAATAAACGATGGTCAATACATACGACCTGAATGGGATGCTGCTAAATCGAAATATATTTATGAAAAAATTCCTGTGCTTGAAATTGATGGTGGTAAATATACAATAGCTCAATCGAAGGCAGTCGAACGATTTTTAGCACGTCGTTTTAATATGTTAGGTAGTAATGATATTGAAGCTGCAATTATAGGTAAAAAAAAGGAATATCCTACTTTGCTCATATAAATGAATATTTTTATTTAAATATGAATAGATGCGGCTGGTGAACAAATGCTTGATGTTAAACAAGCATATAATAAAGCCAAAACTGCAGGTGGTGATAGTGTTAAACAATTTTTTGAAGAAGATTTAACAAAAACTTTTACAGCATTTGAAAAGCAAGCCAATAAAGATAAATCTGGCTATTGGATAGGTTCAAATTTATCATTATTTGATATTCAACTTTATAATTTAATACATTTTTTTGATGATCAACAAAGTGTTCAAAAAGTATTAGAAAAGTGTTCAACATTAAAAGCTATTCATGATAAAGTTGAACAAATACCAGCAATTAAAAAATGGCTTGATGAACGTCCTCAAACAATATTTTAACAAAGAATTTCAAAAAACAGCAATATTATTATATGATTGACTGAAAATTAGTCTTACAGATTATATTAACATCTTTTAAAGCACAATAAAAAAAAATAACTAGATAGGAAACATGCACTATGAGTATTTAAAGCAAGGCTTTTTTTCTAATTTATTTTCTTTTTTAAAATCAAGAGAGAAAACATAAAGAAATAAACATTGATGATTGTTCAGAAAACGTATTTTTTGCTGTTTCTTGTCTATCAAAGAGAAACTCACAAGTAGAATCCTATAAATTCAAAATATCATCGTCTGTTAATGTGTAATGCAATGGTGATAAAGTGATACACAGTAAATATGGAAGATGAATTATATTTATGATATCATATTTCAAATCATAGAATAAAATCATTTCATATCTATGAATATTCTTCTAGGCTATCGTAAGATTAATAAAGTTATCATCATAGTGGACAGAACGTTTTGAATATAGGATAGGCTCAACAGTCTTTATAAGTTCTTTACTAAAAAGTTAAGAATAGGAAAAAAAGAGGAACAATGTTTTATGCCATTCCGATGAAAGATAGTTAGTACTTCTTATTTTTATTTCATATTTTGCTTTGCATAACGTTTATACGATTTAGAAAAAAATTCGCAATTTGTGTCAAAACATATATACTTTAAGAATCACAACAGCATTTGTGTTTTATTTTATTTTGACCTCTCAAAAGAAGATAGTTTTTGATATGCTTTAATGAAAAAACAAATTGATGATAAAACAGTTGTTTTCACAGAAAACAAAAGAAATTACATTGTGGGTTTGTTCACTTTATTAAAAATGTCTCTTAGTCTACTAAGTGCAGCTACTGAAGGTAAAGAAAACTTTCGGCGACTGTTATATTATCTAACTCGAGTTTTCTGTACAGTTCTTCTTCACTTGTAACAAAGAAGATGGAAATCTGTGAAAACATTTTAATATTTATATAATAATTTCGATACATTGCATAAATCTATTAATCTGATGGAATGAAAATCAAATATTTGAGCCTTCAATACCTTAATCTAGGGTAAACTGAAATCTGCCCAAGTCTGGACGATCCACCAGCTATGCTTATCATTATTGATCTTAATTAGAAAAAATTTAGCGAAATTAAAGACAATATCTATTCTTTAAAAATTGTATTTAAAACTTCTATTGATCAACAAATAATTCGTCTTAAGATAAATAATTTTCCAATTAATTATGAAGAAGTTTACAATTATTATATGTTTTTAACTTGAAGAAAATTATTTTTTATATCTTGATATAAATGTTAGATTAGTATAGATAAAATACTAAAAATAGCATAAAATAAATTTCAAATCAAACAATGTTCATCGACGAACCCTGCTCATTTTATTATTTCAAGAGCTTTATTGTCTTCAAACGTATATCAATCTCTAATTGATATACACATATTAATACCTTACTGGAAAGTATTTAGAATTATATTAAAGAGCTTCTTTCATTAGAGGACAGATGTCACTAACTTGTTATTATACAATGCACTTATTAATGACTTTCCCGTTTTGTCGAAGCAATCAACCAATCAACTCGCTGTACATGCAGTTAGCTAACTATCTTGAATCTAATTTTGTTCGAACAATTGTTCTTCGTTGTATAATATATTAAAAACATGAGTTCTCGTAAGTTATTATTTACCAATTTCATTGTTGATTTTATTCGTTCATCTTTATATAGGTGGTCCTATGCGCCTTTCAAAACATAGTTCTCATCCTCAACAACAACAACAACAATCACAACCACCGCCTCAGTTCTATCAACCTACAGCTCCCAATCGTTTGTATTTTCTTTTATTATTTATTATTAATTTCATTATTTATTCTTATATAATGAAGCTCAATCACAAGCACCTACATCGTATGGAGGCGATTTTACGGTACCTCAAGCACAAGTACCTATGTCGTATGCAGCCGATTATAATATGTCTCAACCACAAGCACCTTTGTCCTATGCAGCCGACTATAACATGTCTCAACCACAAGCACCTTTATCCTATGCAGCCGATTATAACATGCCTCAACCACAGGCACCTTCGTCTTATGCAGCGGATTATAACATGCCTCAACCACAAGCAATGCCTTCAAATAATGCATTCTTCTCTCCACAAACTGCTTTTTATGCTCCACCATCTCAACAACAAATGTTTTCTAATCAAGGCATGCCTGGAATGGAATATATTTCAAACAATCCACTTTTTAATGTTGGTTTAAATGTTGTTGAACAAGGCATGAAAGACATAACAGGAAAAACTGTTAATATGTTACCAAATGAAGTAAATAATATATATATATATATTTATTTATTTATTTAAAATAAATTTAGATGAAAAAATCTTTATCATCAATAAAATATTATTTTGCTGTTGATCAAACTTATGTTCTAAAAAAACTTTGTTTACTTTTATTTCCATTTCGACCACGAGTAAAAACAATAAAACAAATACCAATGAAAAAAAAATTAATAAATCAATTTTATCTTTTTAGAAATGGTCGCTAGAATATAGTGCTGATGAACCTGTACCACCACGTGTTGATTCAAATGCACCGGATTATTATATTCCACGTAATAACGTGTGATCAAAAAGTTTTTAGACCAGATGTTTGTTCATTTTGGATCCGCTAAGATATGTTGTCGACAAGTCAACAACTATATGTAGCCCAAAAAATTCAGTTTGGATGGAAAAAATTTTCCTCACATTTTCGTATTTTCACTACTGCCATTCGAAACGAAAAAAATTGGGATCTTTATTTATATGTCAATTTATAGATCAGAAACTAGCCAAACAAAATGTATTATTTGAAGCTGTTTTTTGTCTTTCAACAATGTATCTGAATTTCTATTTTTTCCTAAATATTCATTTTTGAAAAATCGACTACAGTTTTACATTGCAAAAAGTTCTTGAGAAAATTCTTTTACCGTTACCCATCCAAACTAATTTTTTGAACTATTCAAAAACTATTTCACTGCACTCGAACACAATTCAGGTCGTAAATAATAGCTTTTGACTCGTTAGAAACACTTTCTAGCGGGTCAAAAGTAGAACCCATCAGGTTTCAATTTTCAGACCAACCCAACTTATTGTAGTAAAAAGTGAACAAATATCTTGCATAAAAATTTTCTGATCATTCATTTCTAAGATATCATTTTAATTTTTTTATGTTTAGTAATGAGTGCTATAACATATGTTCTTGTAGCTGGTCTTGTTCTTGGTATACAGGAAAGGTAAAACCATTTGTTTTCTTTTTCTGTTCTTAAAGAAAAAAAGAAATTTTCTTTTATGATCTTAAGGTTTACACCTGAACAATTGGGCATGCATGCATCGTCTGCTCTTGTATGGAATATAATCGAAATTTGTGTTCTATGTTTTACATTTTACATTTTTAATGTTCAATCAAAATTACGTACACTTGATTTAATTGCTTATTGTGGTTATAAATATGTTGGAATGATTGTTGCATTATCATCGTATTTAATAACTCATTCGTTATTCGTTTATCATTGTTCTCTACTTTATGTTAGTCTATCACTAGCTTATTTTCTTGTATGTTATTTTATGTTTCTTTTGATTAATTCATTTTTTTTTTCTATTATTTATATAATAGGTTAAATGTCTTCGTTTACAAATCTTATCTGATACAAGTGGATCTCAACAATATGGTTCCAGTGGAAATAAACGTCGTATATATTTACTTCTACTTATTGTTATTCTTCAACCATTATTTATCTGGTATTTAACACAACATTTAATTATTCATTAAAAAGGAAAATAAAACACAATAAAATATCATTTTTAGCTTTATGTTTGTTTATTTGTTTGTTTTTTCAACATATATAAGGTGTGAGTTTTAGATAATAATAAAAAAAATACACAATGTGGAACAATTTATTAAAACCATTGGTAACAACTACGAATTTAATAACATCATCATTTTTCATTCGTCGTTCATTTAATACTCTTTGGCATATGCATACTAATACATTATGGATAACAGGTGTACGTCCTCAACCGAAAAGTAAAATGGATGAACAACCAACAATGCGTGGTTTGTATTAACAAAAATAATAATTATATTATTTCTTTTTTTTTTAATTCTATTCTATCTTAGGTATTGTACTTAAAACATTAATTCGAAAACCAAGAAAACCAAATTCAGCTAATCGTAAATGTTGTCGTGTTCGTTTAGCTAATGGAGTTGAAGTTATTGCACATATTCCAGGTGAAGGACATAATCTACAAGAACATCATAGTGTTTTAGTACGAGGAGGACGCACAAAAGATTTACCCGGTGTACATTATAAAGTAGTTCGTGGTAAATTAGATTGTAATTTACCAGTAAAAAGACAAACAACATTACCGTCGAGTGCTACAGCGAAATAAAGTTTAATTTCTGTTTGTTTGTTTGTTTTTTATTGATATTAGAAAAAGAAAATGAATCAGATTACAAAAAAGAAAATCTTTTTTTGTTCTGTTCGCTTCGAGCAATAATAGGAAATGGTTGAAGAACTCTTTTATATTTCCGTTGTAAACGATATTGTTCAAGTTTTCATTCAATACAATTAGTATAGAAAATTTACATAAAGAAAAATTTATTAAATATTAAATGCTAATTTTATATCAATTATTATTCTAATCATGCTGGTTAATCATCAATAAAATAATAAAAGAATGTTTAACGTCTGTAAGTATCTTATACATTCGTTTCCGATTCAAATTAACTTATAATATATATTAATATTTAAAACAAAAAGGATATAATTGAAAAATAAAATGTAATGTACAATATTGTTTTTTTATTTATTGTTAATTGTAAAGTTTTAAAATATCATTATGGAGTTATGATTTCTTATTGATAAACAGTTTTACGGAAAGATAAAACATTTATGTAATTTCTATCTATAAACTTCATCAAATTTCATTCGACTATTTCTATTTGACTTACTTTTCTATGATAATAGCTTCTTTTTTCTTCAAATACATACAAAAATCCACATTCTTTAGTCTTCAAATAGACTCTAAAACACGATTTGTACTATACATGTCTAATATATAGATCAAATTTCTTAATTTTCTAATCGTATATTTAACAGTATGAAGACAAAGACGAATGAATAATATTTTTCAGAACTAAAAGAAAATGTAATAAAATACTTTTATATTTTATGAATAATAAAACTTAATTTATTTATCAGTACATTGTTTTTCGTATACAACAAAAATCTTTATATTTATTGATATTAATTGTAACAAGAAAAAAAAATAGCATTTAATAGGTTATTAACTTAACAACAGCTCAGAATCAGTGAATAGTTAACACTATTCAACAATAACAAAAATAGATCAAGAGAAACAAGTGAGCTGGAATGATTTGTAGCATCTCATTAATATAAATCACAATTCTGATTGATGATTAATATTTATTATTTCAAGTAGATCATATATGATCTTGATATTTTGTAATAATTATTATCAAATTTAAAATCAACCTGATTGAAACAATACAAAATTTCTCATTGAATAGAATCTACGAATATCATTTGATCTTGTCTGTATACATTTATCCATCCATTAAATAATTGCATGCATTTGTAACTAGATAATAATTGATAAATCATCTGTATTTTGTTTTCTCATCTAATCTATAAAAAAAATGTCCATATGTTTACTTATGTTTGCCTGAAGAAAAAAAGTCGGAAATTATTTCTTCATATTGCCGAAGTTAGGTTTCTCCTCTTCAGTTTTTCTTAGCATCTTACTCATCCGCCTCCACATATCTTAACGAATGAATCAGCTATTTTGTTCATATTATTTTTTTTTCTGTTCTTTTCTCGTCAGCAAAGATTCAAGCGTGAATGACTCGACGGAAACGAACGAATCGATGAATAGGAGAAGAAAGAATCGAACAATAACGCATCTGTGTTTTTTTCTTGGGACAATAGTGATTCATACATGCACATTCTAGATCCAAAAGAAAAATATTTATATTTATATATATACGAGATCATTTTTCGTGTTAATCATAGAGTTCTTTTTTTTTCGTTCGAGATGAATTTATTCCATCGCAAAAGTAGTGCTGCAAGTTCAACAACCAATCCATCACCATCGGTTCTAAGTACAGCTATATCTGGACCTGAAGCATTTGCATCAAATTCAGCATATGGTCGAGGTTTTTATGAACCAGGTGCTTATACAGTTGCATTGAAACGATGTGAAAATGGTCATGATCTTGCTCAACAACTTGCAGATATGTTTGAAGAACGAGCACAGCTTGAATTAGCTTATACAAATCAATTACGTACTTGGTCACGTAAATGGCATGGTGAATTAATAAAATCACAAGAATATGGAACAAATAAAAAAGTTTGGGATGAAGCAGTAACAACAGGTAATTTTTTTGTTTTTTATTAAATTTTGTTTTTGTTTGTAAAATATAAAACAAAAATTCTAGGTGAACAAATGGCTGATGTTCATGGATCATTATCATCTTCACTATTAGATTCATTAATACCTAAACTTCGACAATGGCGTAAAGATAATTATGAAAAATCTTTAATACATTATAAAAAAACGAAAGAATTTGAAAAAGATTTTATGGAGGCACAAAAATCTTGGACTAAATTATTAGATAAAATATCAGAATCAAAATCAGCTTATTATGCAGCATGTAAAACAGCTAAATTAGCTGATGATGCTGAACGTAATGCATCAGATGAAAATCGAAAAAAATTAGCTGATAAAGCTGAAGTAGCAAGACGTGAAGTTGGATTTACTAAAATAAAATATGAACAAGCAATAAATGAATCTCGTGAACAAAGACCACGTTATGAATTAGCTATGAAAGAAGTTTTTGAACGAACACAAGCATTTGAAAGAAAACGTTTAGAATTTTTTAAAGAAACATTTGATGAATTTTCAAAAATATTAGAAACAGCAACACAAGACAAGTAAATTTATTAGAAAAAAATTTCAAAATTTTCTTGTTTATTTTTTTGTTTTTGTTTTAGTGTGAGCTTAAAAAAGATGATCGATGATTATCAGACAAGTTTAACTACGCATAGTTCGGAACAAGATTTAACTTGGTGGGATCAAAATTATGGTATATAGATAAATTTTTATTTTATATTCTAGTTTATTTGTATTATTTATTTCTAGGTACACAAACAAATAATCGATGGCCAGAATATGAAGAATATCATGATTGATTACAAATTTGTGCATTTTATCTATTGATAATCAGACTACTGCTTTTTTTCCCCTTTACCCTATATTTGTTTAACTGTCATTGTGCATTACTTACCTTTTTTCCATTAATCAGATTTTCTATTGTTTTCGTTTTTTTATGTGCAAAACATTCGAATTTTGGGTCATTTTTTTTTGATAGAAATTCTTTCGTCGTTTGTTTTTGTCGCTGTTTTGTTATTGTGCCAAGTTTAATATTAAAGAACTCGAAGATTTGTGTTTAGTTCAGCGACTATTAGTTTTTTATTGTTCTATGTCTGTAAGCATGAATAACATCTGTCAATAATTGTTATATATATATGAACATAGAATCAATACTTGCAGTAATTTAAAGCTTCGAGCGACTGATTTGTGAACAGAAAAGAAAATAATATGAGGATAGATTGATGTGAAACAGACGTGAACGATCAAATCAGTTCAGATAAAATTGAAATAACTATATTGATAATATGTTCGATGATGACAATCTAAAAAATAAAAACAAATTATTTTCATGCAGAGCTAAAAAGGCAACAACAATTGTATTGACTTTCACAATCATTTTTTAAAATCAATATTTGTTTTTCTTTCGTTGATTTAGTGAATAGCTTTTTGTATTTATGATTCAGATAAAAATATTGCTGAACAGTCAAAGATGAATCAAAAACCGTACGAAATGCTTGATGAAATTGATGAGAGCTATTTTGACTCGATTTGTTTTTACAGATATAAACATAAACAAATAAGAATACATCATTTCATTGAATATTTTTATGTCGAATAGATGCAAAGATCAAATGATAATGAAAACGAGATTAAATTTTGAAAAGAATTATTTTGATAGAATCAAGATTACAATATTTCTATCCATATAACCAACGTATGCAAAGTCTTTTCACAATATGTATGATCAATTTTTGTTCATTTATCAGTCACTGAAGAGAATCAAAAGTAATCACCTAGAGTCAAAATTTGATACTCTTTCTAACAATATATTAAGAGTTTCTTTTATCCGACTTTAAGTTAGTTCATTGAGAACAAATCTTTTGATGGCAGCCAAAACCGAATGTGACACAAAATGCTAACTTTAAAAGATATTTATTAATATGTTTGTTCACTTTTCGGACATCGAGATACCGTTGAAGAAGCTCAAAATCAATTATTTAGAATTAGAATTTGATGTTCTTTCTATATGGATGTTCAGAATTTTTCCACTAAATTTTGGCTTGTCAGCTGTGAGCAAATATTAAAATGAATCAAAAATGTTGTTTGCACTAAGCAAAATAACACAACATTTCATTTTTCTACTAAATCATACATTTTACTAAGCTGAAACTTAAAAAAATGGAAATCTAAGATATGGGAAAAAAGTTCGCGACATTTTCTTATCGATATTAATAGAAAAATTTCTAAGAACTTTTTTTTCATATGATATACTAAAAGATGCAGCGTGAAAAGCTCTGCAATTTGCATAAGACCGCTTTTTTTACAGTTGCACTTTTCGTTTTCAAAATCGACAAAAATTCTGAGCCACCAGATTCCGATGCTGCAAAAAAGTCTTTGTTCAATACACGGCCAATGCGTTTTTTTCCTCTTTACCACCTGAAATCTTTTATTTAAAAAAAAACAAAATATACCAAAAGATGCAGCGTAAAATGCTCTACAATTCACGAAGGAAAGCTTATTTTAATTGTCTACTTTTTGTATACAAAAGAAACCAAAATTCTGTGCGATCAATTTTCGACGCTACGAAAAGATAACATGAAAAGACATTTCTTTTTTTCTTATTTCATCATTTTATCTCCTAATATGTTTTCGTAAAAAAAAAAATATATACCACAAGATGCAGCGTAGAAAGCTCTACAATATATACAGGTAATGAAAAGATAAAATAAGAAAAAAGATAACTTCTCGTGCGTGTTATCTTTTCGCAGCGTCGAAATTNATATCTAAAAGAAGCACATTATCCATCTCTTGTTGCTAATCAACCAACAATATTACGTCAAGATGAATATTCATGTATTGTTGATATACGTGGTTCAACAAAAGAAAAACCAATAATAAAAACTTTTAAAAAAATTCGTGCATGGAGAAAAAAAACTCGAGAATTAGCTGATGATGAAAGTTTCGATGATTCAACAAGATTAAAAATAAGTAATGAAACGAAAATTCGTATGACACCATTTATAAATTATTCACGTTTTTTTTTATTTACATACATTAAGAAACTTTAAGAAACTCATTAAAAAGTAAAGATATCAATGAAGCACGTTCAATTATGGTTCAAACATGGAGAGATTCATCCGATGATAAACGTGAACAATATAATCATGATGTTGTCAAATTCTATTCACCTGTTACACAAAATTATTTACCACCATCAAATTTAGGTGCTATTACAGAACGTTTAGATGATTTAATTAGAAGTTATATAACTGCACATGGAAAATTAGATCAAACGAAAATGGATACACGAACATTTGAAAAAATGATGCATGTTAAATCACTTAAATCATGTATTGATCCAGGAGAAAGTGTAGGAATTTTAGCAGCACAATCCATTGGAGAACCTAGTACACAAATGACATTGAATAGTAAGTCATGTTTGAATATAAGTTATACGATTATAATTCGGAAATATCTAAACAAATCATTTTTTTTTATCCTTAGTCAAAGTTGATTGTTCTTCGATAGGAAGGAATGAGAATAAGGAAACTGACTGTACTCCTTGTAGAAACAAACTCGATTTGTAATGGTTACAGCTTAATGATCTGAGAGAGTCTACTCAAAGAGATAGTGAATACCATGAAATTGGATTATCAGAAGCTAAATAAGTGATAAACTAACTTAATCGGTCGTTATAGAACTATCTGATTTGAATTAAACTTCAGTTTATATTTCAGTAAAAAAAAAGATGTCCATTAACACAAGTGAATCAGTCAAGAATCCTAAAAGAGATTTATCGGTGTGTACCGAAGTCCACTATGATCTAAAATTGACGAAGAAAACGCGTATCTTGATGGATTTCAAAAATCAGAGAATCCTAGATACGCTCTTTTCTTGTTATCCGTTCTATTTAACATATTTTTTTTTTCTATTTTAGCTTTTCACTTTACCGGTCGTGGTGAAATGAATGTAACATTAGGTGTTCCACATCTTCGTGAATTACTTATGGCTGCATCTATGAATGTTAAAACACCAACAATAGAAGTTCCTATCTTACGTAGTTCATCAGCATTATGTAAAGCAAAACGTTTACAACGTCATTGGTCTCGTCTTTTATTTTCTCAAGTATTAACAAATTTAAATATTCATGAAAAACTTACATTAAAATTAAATGATTATAAACGTACATATAATATTGAATTTTATTTTGATGAAATAATACGTACATTTGAAACATATTTTATTCCACGTTTTTTGTCGTTCAATTAATAAAAAACATAAAGAATTAATGACAAGTGGTCTTTTAAGATCAGCTCATATTCGTGATAAAATAACAATTAATGATTCAAATGATAAAGATGATCAACAAGAAACAGTAGGAAAAGATGATGATGAACCAATTAATGATGAAGCTAATATAGCCAAAGAAAAATCGAATAGAAATGATGAAAAAGAATATAATGATGATAATGCTGGAGAAAATGAAGCGGATGATGAAGAAGAAGAACCTATGCAAGATAATCACAATGATAATGAACAACTAAATGTATCGAAAATTGCAATTAAAGAGGATACTATTGATGATGATGATGATGCACAAGGTAATCTTATTTTTTTATAGGATAAAAAACGCTCTTAATACAATCCCTGTTTGATTGAAATGTGAAATACGAATGAGATACTCCTATTGTAGACTTTGATTTCGTGACTATATCTCTCGCAGTCAATACTTTCACATTTATTTTAAATTGAGAAACACTCTCATCTTCATCGTTTTTAAGGTATTTTAATAATTAATTCTTTTTGCATCATATTGGATATACATGGGGCACTCCAAAAGTTTTTTCCTCCGATTCTTCTAAAAGCCTCAGTTTGAGTTTAAGTATTCTGTTGTAATGCTTAGACATATTTAGGACTATGTGTAAAATTTCAGACTTCTAAGTCTTGTACTTTGCTGTGGTTCGTCATTTCTTTTATGGCAGGTGCACGCAACCTGCTAACGGATGATTCATCATAAATAGGAGAACTTTGTATTTCATATTGTAGTTCCTAAATACGTTTTATTAAAAAACAAAATATATCAGAAGATGCAGCGTGAAAAGCTCTATAATTCACAACGGACAACTAATTTTACAGTTGCATTTTATCTGTTAAAAAATCGACAAAGTTCTGAGCAAAGAAATTTCGACGCTGCGAAAGCAATATTTTTTCGATGATAGACGAATTCGTTTTTTTTATTTCATCTTTGCTTTACCTGATATCTTCTATTAAACAAAAAACAAAACATACCATAAGATGCAGAGTGAAAAGCTTCACAATTTACATAAGACAGCTTATTTTACAATTGTATTTATTATTTTGAAAATCGACAAAATTCTGAACGATCAAATTTCGACGTTGCAAAAAAGTGTTTTTTTTTGTATGCGACGAACGCGTTTTTTTCTTATTCGTAACCTGATATGTTTTATTTAAAAAAAAATACATCACAAGATCCAGCGTGAAAAACTCTACAATTTTCAAAGAACAGTTTATAATATATATGCAGCTTTTGTTATTAAAAAAAAGCAGAATTCTAAGCGAGTAATTTTCTAGGCTGCAAAAATTCTATACGAACGAAGACTTCCTTTGTTTGTATTTCATTCTTTTATCACCCAATACGTTTTTTTTTCAAAAAATAGAATATGACGAAAGATGCAACATGAAAAACTCTACAATTTGCAAACAACAGTTTATTTTAGTTATATCCTTTTTCTTTCCAAAAACAATAACAAAATTTTCTGGACTACTTTTCACAGCGTCGAGAATTGGTCACTCAGAATATTGTTTATTTTGAAAGAAAAAGTGCACAATTAACATAGGCTTTACACTGTAGATTGTAGAGCTTTTCACGCTGCATCTTTTGATATATTTTCTTTTTTTTTAATAAAATCTTTTTGGGAGATTAAAATATGAAATGCAAAGTTCTGTCATTTATTACAAGTCACCCGTTATTTAGTGTATAGAAAATGGCATCTTATTAACGTAAAAGAAATGATATATTACAGCAAAGTACAAGACTTAGAAGTCTGAAATGTTGCACATAATCCTAAATATGTCTAACCATTATAACAGAAAACTTGAACTCAAACTGAGGCTTTTAGAAGAATCGAAGGAAAAAACTTTTGGAGTGTCCCATGTATCTAAAGAAGAAATAAATGACAATGATGAACAAGAAGTATCAGGTAATGATGATGAACCACCAAATAAAAAAAGCAAAAAAAAAAAATCACTAGTGATAATACAACATACAATGAACGATTTGGTATATGTATATTACCCAAAAAAAAAAAAAATTTTGATTTATTTATTAAAAATTTCCTCATTTCAGAACATTTGTAAACATGCGGATTATATAAGTGAATATATTGCTGATATTGATAATAAGTTATGGTGTCATTTAACAATGATATTTCTCGAACATCGATATAACATCAATTGTTGAAATACAAAATTATTTTATAACAGAAAATAAAGAACATCATTCAAAAATTAAAAAAAATGATCCAAATAATATTGAATATATTTTTTCTATCAAAGGTAAAAATATCAATATATTAATGACATATTATCAAATATTTGATTTATGTTGAATATATATAAATAATATTCATCGTATGGTACAAATATTTAGTATTGAAGTAGCTAATCGTACATTAATACGTGAAATAAATCGAATATTTCGTACTTATGGAATTAATTGAAGTTGGTTATAGATATTTATCTTTATTAGCTGATTATATGACATATGAAGGTGTTTATAAGCCATGTAATCGCTTAGGTTTAAAAATAAATGCAAGTTCTTTACAAAAAAATAACATTTAAAACATCAACAACATCTTTAAAAGAAGTATTATTATATGATGAACATGAACAATTAAAATCTTCATTATCTCATTTAGTTACTGGACGTATGATTCAATACGATACTGGGGTTTTTGATATTCTTACAAAATAATCTTCATCATAACAATAATTAATATATTTTCTTGTATTTGTTTGTTTTCTTTTTCTAGGCACTGTTTTTTTTTCTTTTTTTTGCCTAACTAAACAATACTATTTTGTTATGTGAATTTTTTTAGATATTTTATCCTCATGGATAAAAATGATTTATTAACAATCAATGATAACTCAGTTTGATTTTTGGATTTCATCAATAAATGAAATTGTCTATTTGATTTTTATCGATAGAATGACAATGAACTCTTCATAAACATTGATATTGGATGTTCACTTTTTATTCAATTATTTGAGATTTATAAATTATGAATTGTATGAAACTATGCATAAAAGCCGATTGAAAATATTTCATCCTAATGTAAATATAACAAACAATAGTTGGAAAACTATTATAAATTAGTTTTTGTATGATTTTCAGTAATAAACTGATAACTCTCAAATCAGAAAAAAGACCGTAACTCTCTATAACACAAGCGAATTTAATAGACTCTTTAGGATATCAATTTCTTTATTTGAAAACATTATTATTATTTTTTTAAAAAGTTGAATATCATTTTCGTCTATCACATATGATTATAGATTTGATTGTTACAAGTTTTTTATGGATGTTAATAATAAGACTTTAATGAAAGAAAAACATGAATATTGATACACAAGAAAAGAGAGAAAAAGCAAATGAAGAGAAGAAGATGATCAACTTCTCCTATGTTCTAGAAAGAGGATGATGTAATGCATTATTATGTGATGTATCTCTCCTTTTCCCAACTGCACGTCAAATATACATTTCAGTCACATTGAGAAAAGCGTCAATATATGAGATGGTAAAACAGTGAAAAGAAAACAGAAGAGAAGAGAATGAATAATTCTCATTGTTTTTGTCAAATTATTTCAACGCAATATTTTATAAGAACGAATAATAAGCTAATAATAGCAGAAATTATTTTAGAATCTTCGAATAAAATATAATTGAATCCAAATAGTTTAGTATTCTACAAGAAAAAAAAACAATCAATTTCATTTTAATTAAATCAATGGATCGATAGAATCTATTTGAAACGATTTAAACTAACGAATTTTCTTTCCTGTGCAGTATTATTATCCAACGATTAAGACGTTTACTATTCGACGAATGGAAAAGATGTAAATCATATAGAAAACAAAGAAAGAATTTGTTTATTTTGTTAAATATATCATAGTTGTTTTTTCTTTACAACAATTAATTCTTCAATCAAAACCAACTACAAATACTAGATACATACATGAACTATACATCATATTAATCATTGTTACTCTGATACATATATGTTCTTTAGATTATTTTGTAATTCTATTTCTTATCTTAAATTCATTTATCAATTGAAAATACAAGTAAACAATTACATGATGACTTCTACAGATAAAGAAGAAGATATTGAAGATACTGAAGGTAGTGAAGATCAGAGATGGAACCGGTACCGGTTACCGGCCGGTCCGGTACCGGTACGAGTTTTAGACCGGCCGGTCTACCGGTCTACCGGTCGATTGCCGGTCTACCGATCGATTGCCGGTCTACTGGTCGATGACTGGTCTGTCTTGTTTACTGTCCTGCTTTTATTATATATAGTTATATGAAAACTTCTATTTGTTCGAATATTATCATGTCGTTAGGATTTTACATGATCGCTTTTATATCGTTATTATTCTTTTCTTTTGTTCCATGGAATTAAAAAAGAAATGTCGGATCAGTCGGTATGTACCGATACGAGTTTTCGACCCGCCGGTCTGCCGGTAGACCGGTTCCATCTCTGGTGAAGATACTGAAGATATTGAAGGTACTGAAGGTATTGGAGATACTAAAGATNGACCGCCGGTAGACCGGTTCAACCGGTAGACCGGCCGGTCCGGTCCGGTCTGAACTTTTCAGACCGGCCCCATCTCTGATATAAATAACTCTTTATTTTCAGACATCTCCATAATGTAATTTAGTTGAGAAACTACAGATTTCATATTTTAGGGTTAAGAATTCTTAATAAATGGTACGTATCAACATAATTAAATAAAAACTCATATTATATAATATCATAGACTTCCGAACGTTACGTTACTAGTATCAAAAACAGTATTTCGAAAAAATAAAATAGTTTTTATTTGTAAACCATTCATGATTCTTTCTAATACTAATAGATAATAGAAATGATTTTCTTCATTCAATATAACATGCGAATACCTTTGACGATACAAAATCTTTAATATATTTTCTAAAGTACATAAAACAAAATCTAGCTTTCTTAATGTTATTAATACGTATAGAGAAAAAAAGTCGTTCGCATTTAGTATGAAAAACTCTATTTCATTATGGAAGAATATTTTCATATGATATAGTTCGCAGTCAAATATTCATGAATAAACATGTTTCTTCTAGGAAACTTCGGACTCGGCTTCACAAAATTGTAAATGTACAGCTCTCACTGGTTTCTTGTTTTCAACCGTTCAACATTGATCAATATGTGTAGGCTTTCTTTCTTTTTTTTTTTTAAAGTTTTATTTATCTATTAAATACATGCATTATCATATTGTTCAACAATTTGTTTTAATTCCTCATCAATTTTATATATATGTATTTCATCATATTCCATGTAAAATGTTTGATGTGATGGTTGAACAAGAATTGCTTTATTCAATGGGAAATTAAATGGATAACAGTTAATATTATTTCCATATACGTTACCTTCTTTAATAGCACCTAATTTACAATAATTTTGAGATACACAATCTAGTGGTTGCTTTGGTAATGATTTCTTGTTATTTATTGATCGAGTAGTATTTGTTGAAAATTCTCTTTTTGGTGGATAACTACTTAATGCAAAGTATTTTGCACGAGATCTAATCACATTTCTTACAGCTTTCAAACCATTTCGTATATGCATATGTTGAAGAGCATCACGAACAATGATCAAATCAAATGAATTATCTATTTCAATAGAAATTAAATTTAAAGACATAATGAAATTTCAATAATAAATAATTACTTTGAATTACATGTGTTGAATTTCTATATGAAAATGTTGGTATTGGACAATTAACAAGATCCCAATATTGAAATAATTTATTACGGTGTATTGTTCCATATAATATTTTATTTTGTTGAATAACATGTGTTGATATATCACCACCAAAATAGAGTTGTTCAATAGTATTAATTTCTTGAATACTAAATTGCCAAAATGTATCACCACAAGGTATATCAGCTATAGATTGAATATGATAATGTTGTATAAATGACCGTAAATGTTTTATCCAATCAAAAGCACCTTCTAATGTCGAACCTGTTCCTGATCGACTTTCTCTTTCGTTGTTATTCCATCTTCGTGTATCAAATATAATATTAAATTCTTGAACACGATTGTTTGTCGAAGAATCATTTAAATTTAATCTACATTGTGTGTCAAGATAATAAACAGTAGAACTAGATGAAAATCTATCAGCAATACGAGTATGAAAATGTAATATTAGAATACTAATATTGAACAAAAACACAATAAATGATAACAATAGAGTCCATTTTAGACGCATAATATTTCTGTAAAAATAATTAAAACCAATATGATATAGAATTCAAATATATCCAGAGAAATGTTTTATTCAGTATAGGGAAAGAGAGAGCAAAAGAAGGCTTGTTAGCGTATTCCCTTTGAAGCTGAAATGTGGAACTCATATATTCCATATAAGCTAGTAGATAATTTAGTATAAACTGTTCTTTTTAATGTAATGAAATATATTTTAAACTTTGAAACAAATTAAATGAAACAAGGGCAGATTTATTTACTAATTAATAGTGAGTGATTAACATTACTGATAAAATATCAAAATGTGTTCTTTTTTTTTTAAATCATTTTCCTTTTTATCAAATAACAGTTCTATTGTTTTTATGATATGACACAGTAAAAAAATATTGTACAACAACCAATGTTGCCATCTTACAATGTGCAAACAGGAGCATACGATTCGAAAAAAAAAGAAACAGGAAGTCTAAGTCGATAAACAGAAAATGTTTCTTCATTTCAAATCATATCTTGATGTCATAATGAGAAATGTTCATATTAAATTCCAATTGTTTAGCATAATTTAAACAATAAAACCGAATTGTTTGATACATTCTGTTTTAATTGCGTACTTGTTGTTTGTTTACATAGTTTTCAATAAATTTGGAATGAGTATGTATCGTTTTGATATAACTATAGTTTGATGTCATTTAGCAGATCTCTTTTTTTTAATGATTCGGAGAGTCACTTTTTAAACAACAGATTAAATGACTGTAACATCTATTTTATTGAGGATATTTTTGATGACTAGATCACAATTTCTAACTTCAACTGATGCTATTATAATTTAACTGTACATGAGCAACAAAAAATAATCAACAATAATGTGAAGTGAGAATATAAATGCGCACGATTATTTAAAAGTAGATTTGATAATGATTATGTTATTAATGAAATCCAAATATATTTTCATTTTGAATGAATAAAAGAAAAAATTGAAAAATTCTAAGGCAACAATATTTCAAACCAAATCTGATTACTTTGAGAGCAATATTAATTGAAACTTATTCCATTTGAATCAAATAAACTATCTTTTCTTACTAGGCGTTGTATACTTGTTGTCTTCTTATAGTATCTGCTGACGTATCTAGGTCTTGAATAGAACCAAAAACAAGACAAGCATAAAGTATGATTTCGTTTTATATAACAGAAGTTTTCATAGCTTACAAGAAGACAATAATTAAAATTCGTTGGTTGAGACAAAAACACTATTGTATAATTTGAGGTTAGAACTTGTATCCTAATCATTATAAATATGTTCGATCATTGTTCTAGCTGTTTGTAGCATTTTCAAAATTAATTTTAAAAAGTTGCTTAATCGACAAAAAAAATGTATACAAACTGCTATTGTATTATATCAATGCAACAAAGTGCCTTGCAACTCATAATCCTAGTAGCAAAAAGAAAGAAAATCAAATCAAGAAAAGAGTATAAACTAAAACTAGAGCAGCACTTTTCGTCATCAATAGAAAACAGACGTTGTCTTCAACCTCAAAAGACGATAAAGAATAAGAGAATAACATTAACAAACGTTAATGGGAATTTTCGCAGAGAGAAGTTAACATAATTTAAAAATATTGGTTAAAAACATTAAAATTAATAAAACCTAAAAAAAAAAGCAGAAGAGTTTGTAACTCTGATGACAACAGTCAAAATGAATAGCTATACTAAGGTTTGACTAAAAGTTCTGAGATCTTTAAATAAAAATATAAAGATAAGGAGATATTTTTAATTTTATTTTATGAAATGTTGAGAATAGTTGCCATGATTATATTTGTATCAAGTTTAATTCTTTCTAACAATTTATTAATAGTTTTTTTGATGTCTTTTTCGAAAAAAAAATTAGCTACCTTGGATACCGCATGAGCTAATCATGTTTCATTTGTTTTAAAATTTTAGCGAAGTTTTATTAGATGTTGTCACTTGCGTTCTAGTAGTACTAGTGACAAAGTATAGATTTATTTTATATAGGTTAATCATAAATCACCTGATTCTAGCTGGCTTATCGAGGATGAATCGTCAAAGACTATTTTTCATGGAGATAGATTTGAACAAACTTTGTTTGACATGTGCTTTAAATTAAATAGCCCTGAGTGTAGATAAAGGCATGACAGTAGGTTATAAGTATTATATTGAAAAGTGTCTGAAGCCTTTTGTAAATGTAATATGAAAACAAAAAGAAGTATAAAGTGCAAAATGTATAAAACTGCTTGACGATTATCGTTGACTTCATACTCATCCGATGTTATTAATTATTTGACAGAAGAAGGAATCAATATAATGCCGCAGCAGTCATATTCGACGTACTTAATACTACCTAATATTTGATTATGTAGCTCTATCGAAGGGAGTTTATTTAATTAAATAAATGAAATATTATGTACTCATGCGGTATCCAAGGTAGCTAAAAATTTTTTCGCAAAAGAGTTCAAAAAAACTTTTAATAAATTGTTAGAAAGAATTGAACTTGATTTGATAAAATTAAATTAAAAATGTCTCCCTATCTTTATATTTTTATTTAAAGATCTCAGAACTTTTGGTCAGACCTAAGTAATGATATTTCTCACAAATTAAAACAGCTACAGATAGATACTGAAGCACTAACTACAATAAGAAAAAGAAAACACCATCTCTCTATTACTAGTGCATATATATTAGTATCTTAATTCTAATACTCTTTGCTTTGCTTGCTTCTTTCTGTGATGTTAAAATTTCAATTAATTTTATTCACTATTCCAATCTCTTATTTTTGTTTGAGTAACTTAAATTGACTGCAGTATTGAAATGATTGATTTATACTTGTGGTTGCTAACGTTTATAATCGGAAACAACAAGATTTTGACTTAAAACTTATACTTGTTGTTTTCTTTGAAATTGTTTTGAAACAAAAGAAAAAAAATGTCCATCCCAAACAGTGTTTAGATACGTGAAAAACAAAAATAAAATTCTTGAGTCAGGAAAGGGGAAGAGTGCTTATAAAGTTACAAAAAAATACATAAACTAAGTCTGTAAAACAAATCTTACATTATTGATTTATTGTGATTATTTCTTTCGATCAAATAATGTTAATTTGAAACGTCCACCGAATACTCTATTACGCACGAACAATGTGTAGTGCATAGCATAAACTACATTTGAATTATGTTTGTGATTTTCTTCTATATAACACCACAGTCGTTATTACAGTTTTGAACACGTTCATATTATGCATGAATAGTTATAGATTTCTCTTCTATTTGAAACAAAAATAAAGTTTTTTTTTTTCCCGTTGTCGTTCTGTTCTCTTTTTTTATAATTTCACAGCATATTATTATTATTGTGAGAAACGCGACTTATTTTTGTAATCCTTAATGGGGTTCTTTTTCTAATGCTCTTGATATTTATATTGAAATTTCGTATTTTGTACTTCGATAATCTCGTAAAGGGAAAATCAGAACATATTTACTTAAATGCGAGATTTAATCGATACTATTTGTTTTCCAATCATTAGTCAAAATTTCCGTTTGTTTACAGAGAAATCAACGGATAAAGTAAATTTTTTTATTTTATCTTCAATATTTATTCAAATATTTTTCTATTTCATAATATATCCATGCTCAATTTCAATAGTTAAAGACAGGAAATTAAAAAAATATATTATTCATAACATGAGCACGAGAAGGAGAACTCAATTACAGTGGAAAGAAAGTTTATTTACAACTCTTTCTTTATTTTCTTTTTTGTAATTCTTTTTTCTTTTATCGAATCCACATTTAAAAATGTTAATTTAACTTTATATCAAGATTGTTACAACTCTCCTTTCATTTACAAACAGTTGCCATTAGTTGAACATAAGCAGTGACATAGAAAATGATTGCTATATTTATTTTGTCACCTACACTTGTTTATTATAAAAAAAAGTTTGTCATACAATTGATTATTAGACTGGCAATGTAGAAGAGAATCTTTTAATAACTCGTAATATATAGGGAATTTTTCGAAGTTAATAATTGCTCAGATGTATAATATGCCTCTGATTTAATTAGTATGTGATACTTTCTATTTTATTTGCTATAGTTTTTTCATTATTTGCCTAGTTTTCACATAAAATAAGGAGGGAAGTGTTTGAGGGAAACAGTGTAAAGACTGTTTTCATGGTTGTTGGGAAAATGGCGGTGTCCCATAGGGCTACATTGGGATCACTTACGATTTTCATCTAGCTTTGCCTGATCGAGTTGAAATTTTTACGACAGACGCGTAGAACCATTCTGTAGAAATGAAATTAGACGTTTTCATTTCTAATTTTCCTATCCGAATTCATAGAGTCCTGAACGCCAAGAATCTAGTTTTGATCCTGAGTCTTTTCACATTTCTCTAATAAAAAAAAGCAAGATTTTTGAAAAGGCTTAAAATTGTCCCTGAGATACAACCAACGGTATCTTCAAAAACGTTTCCGACTTTTTGGAAAAAAAAGTAACGAAACCTTGTTTAAAACTTTTTTCTTGAATATGTAGTTCCTTATTTCAAGTACTTTATCTATAGTAAAATCTCAGGCGAATCGGTTGCACCTTCTTCGAAAATCAGAAATGGTCAAAAACAAGGAGAGCATCCTTAATGAAATGATAAAGATCAGTTGTCTAGTCTACTTGCAGATTACAACAATGCGACGAAAAAAATAAAAATAACAGGAAACAAATTTTTCTTTTTCGCATATGTGCCAAAATATTCATTAGCTATGTGCCTTTGCGAAATTAAAATACGTCTATTTCAAGATAATGAGCTTTTCTACACCTAATTTTTATATGTTACATATATGTTTAGTTTCTTTAGATACTCTAAAAAAATCAGTGTTAGAAAACTTTGTCGAAAAGAGTCATCAGTACAGAAAGAAAAACAAGCATTAAAAAGGACAACGACTTTCACTTCATGTAGTTCAGTTAAAAAAAAAACTCCAAATTGATGGAGTAGTTTTGAAAATCAAATAGTAAATTCTGTAGATAATTTCTAAGGCTACAAAATTTCCATCGAAATTTGTTTTTGTTGAGCATGTCTTGATTTTTCAAAAAAAATCAATTTACTTTTCATTGGCGACATGCTGAAATACGAATATACAAACGAAAAAATGCTCTTATAACCAAATGAAAAGTTCAAAACTAGTTACAATTGTTGTAAATCGTTCTTTGGAATCTCTAGTTGATGGCAAGACAAATTTGTTTTTTTTTAGGGACGTGATAGGATCTCTTTAAAAAACCTGGCTTTTAAGAAGAAGTTTTTTGAAATCCGATCTTATTGAAAATTTCACCATACATGCAGTTCGTGCAATAGAATTTGTTCTGAAATGTTTGGTTTTTTTCTCGTATAGTTACAGAGATATTCACTGATTACTTTTTTAACTATTAGCCAGCTGAAAGAGACTATTATTTTCACATACGTCAATACTAAAAGAATCTATTCAGAAAAATAATTCTTATAAAGAATCGGAATCAATATCAAATGAATAGGTAGGTATATTCTATTTTGCCTGAAATGTCTCAAATATACTAACCATCTAATTAGTTTATAAACTTTTCCGAATGCATGTTTCGCATGATAAAAATATGTCATCTTATATTTCATTAAATCTGTTTTGATATTTATGCAAAATAAAAAAAAAAAAACAACTGACACAAATAGAAGTTTATTAAACGCGAGAAATAGAAACAATTGGTTGAATAGTAAATGGTTTTAAATTTCGTCTTTCTAATCGATTATTGTTTTCTTGATGATTAATCAAAGTTATATCTCTTGATATATCTTCGTTCTTTTTAAATAAATTAATCACAACTCGTTTTGATAATTGTCGAAATATTGGTGATGATAAATAATTAACATAAAACATTGAAATATAATTAAAATAAAAAACTAAACGAGATATTTGAAGAAAAAGATATTCTTGTGCTAGACGATATTCATCTTTTTTAATTCTTTGTGTTAAACTCTCATAGATACTTTGTGTAATAAAAGGCATTGATGATACAATACACACAATTATTTGTAAAAATAACATTGATGATAATTGATCATCAATACGTGCCATACGTGATAAAACAACTGAAGGTAATGTACCAATACGACGATTACGTATTTGACGAATATTTTTTAATGTTAAATAACCAAATAAACTCATAAATATCCATGGAAATATTCCATAGCAGCATAAATAAAAAAAATAAGTTATTATTTTTAACCAAATTATTGATGAATAATTACATAATCGTTTATCTAATGTAAATTGAATAGGTTTTGCATAGATAAGCGTCGGAATAGTTATTAACATCCAAAATATAATAAAAAATACACATATATGTCTTGCAATAAAAACTGAATTTAAACGACGCCATTTTATTTGACGACATGTTGAAAAAAATCTATCGATTGCAGAAAAAACAAAACAAGATAATGTTATAAGTGATGTACAATTTGCAACATAATATCGAATTTTACACCAGCTTGCACTATTTGCTGTCCAATGAATCTTGAAACCTTTTTCGATGACACGATCAGATAAAGCAAATGATATGTGAATTAAACTAGTAATAGATGCAAATAACATATATGTACAATATGAACTCGAACGAAGAGAATAATGACGAAAACTTAAAATATTCCAAAAAGCACCTATAATACCAAAACTTAACATAAATAAACCCAAATAGATATTCAATTGTTGAGATATATAATTAAGTGTTTGTACTGTAGCCATTGTAGAATACAAAAATATTAAATTACATTAGAATTTCTAAATAAACCAGAATTACTTTATCTAGGGAGCAAAAAAAATTTTTTCTTTAATCTATTATAGCATTTATTAAAAAGAGGAAAAAAAAATATTCTAGAATTAATATGACAACAGCTGGAGAGAACTATCAGTTGAGCAGTTTACTTCCTCATCCTTAATTATAGTTCATTAGTATCGTAAGATATCAAACCAAGAGCTTAAAAGCTTTATATGAAAAAAGAGAGATTATTTCGCTTGAAAATTGTTTTTGTGCTTTTCTCAATGCGGAATCAAAATATTTTCTCGTATATTTTTAAAGTCAAATTTTTGAAAAATAAATAAATAAAATACACATTTAAAACTAGACATTGAATAAGAAATTTTTTCGATTTTTTTTTTTAGATTATTATTTTTTATTTGGAATATTTTCGTTATTACCAAGAAACATAAAGTAATATAGTTCTTATGAAAATGGCTTCACAATTAGACTTGTATAAATTCTATTTTACTCTTCGATTCCATTTTCCTTGAAAAGAAACAAAAATATTAATCTCCTATTACTTAGCATACGATCAACAACAATATTATAATTCAACCTGAATACACTTTTTGTTACTCTGAATGAAAAATTCATATAAAAGAATAATTCATAATTACGGCACGCAATAAACTTTCTGATCTGCTTGCTTATTACTCACGCTGTTAGCCTCTAAGAACAAACTTAAAGTAATTTAAGTTCATTTTATAATACTAGACGCTTGATTCAAATTATCTGGTGACAATCTTGAATATAGGGAAAAAAAAAGATATTAGCTAATTTGCATATTTTCTAGGAAAGTTGTCGATCTGTGTCTATCTCTGATTGGTCAATGCTCAATTTTGTTTCTATTTTCTCTTCATTTGATACATACGTTTATGTATAACTATAATAAAATATTTAATAAATCAATACATCTATGATTATCTTAGTCATAATTTGCTTTTTTTTTTTCAATACTATTTATATCTTTCTTCAACACGGACATGTGGATATATTGTCAAAGGGGTGAAAAAAAAAGAACCCAGAGTAAATTTATCTATTAGCTTATTCTATTTTTTTTTTAATACTTAGAAAAACAAATGCAAGGAAATGCACTAAATAATTACAAAGCCATATGAAAGCTAGAGAAAAGAAGGTACGCAATATCTGATCTAAAAGCTATTCTTCCATGTTTTCATTCTAAATAGTATTCTGCATGCATTAACAAGCTTTCTCATGTGAACAATGATACTTAGATCTAGCAGCAAAGTACCAACTATTGACCGTCTTTTTAATAAACGCATTAGCTATGATATATTCAGATTAATATGAACAACTGTTAATGATCTAAATCAATACCAAAACAAACTGTTTAATTGTTGATGAATTCGAATCTAACTTAGCTTCTATGATGAAAGATACTATCAGTGTTTTATCTGGCATGAAGGCTGAGAGGTGATACTTCCTCGTAGATCAGATTGGTTCTCTGATAGTTAATGCACATTTTACCATGCACTATGTGTCTGTGCTTCTGAAAATAAGTTGTCATCCTCTTAGAGTCCAACGATCACTCCTTCAGAGAAAATTTGAATAAAACACTGCATTCAATTCTATAACTTTATCAATGTTCTTATTTATTGAAAACGTTATAGTATAGTTTTTGACATTTTTTTTTTATGTATTTATTTATTTATTTTTCTTAATCAGGAACAACTTTTATTCGCATACCAATATGACAATTCAAGAAATAAAACAAGAACGACATTACTCAATAAAATCTTCATAGATATATATTGGTAAAATACGTTCTCACTCAATCTGAATCTTTCTGGAAAAAATATCAACAGAATAAAAAGAAAAAGAAATTTTCAAGAGTGGTCTACTCCAGTCAAAAGTTCAACAAAATAAATTTTTGGAAAATGAAGTCAATTGTAGCTCTGCTAAATATATCGAACTAAATAGAACCATTAGGCATATACCACAACTGCATTTAACGTAATTTTTCTAAACATTTATTTATTGAAGCTTTCGGCTCAGAGTGAGGTCCAGTAAACTTCGAATCTCAAGCTCTATCAACTGGTATAAGTCCTAATTAAAACAGTGCTCAGAGTGTGTCGGAACATATCTTAGTAATACCCTAATAAAAGAAAACTAATCATTAATATCGGAAGTGATTAAGCAGACTTGATACTTACGACATTGTGTTCGAATTTTCAGAAATTTCAATATGTTATAGACAAAATCTAATTAGTGTCCTAACACCAAATATTTTTACTTTTTCGAACTACTAACTTATATAAAAGCATACGAGTGAAAACCAATTCGATCATGATCGAACACTTTATTATACTTGAAAACAAATTATAGAATCGGAGAGTGATATTGTTATGCTAAAAGAATTTGTTTGTATTGAAAATTTATCTACAGATGATGATGAAACCATATGTAGCGAAGTAAGTGAATACATGAAGAGAAGAATGAATTATGAAAAAGTCGATCATATATTATTGTGAAGGAAGAAGTATTCATGTATATGGATCCACAATTGTGACGTTTGACATTAACAGTATGTTCCATTCCAGTGTCGTCAGCAACAGGCAAACGTACACTTAGCGAAATGAAATGAATCGGGTTTTAGAAACAGAGAAATAGCAAGTGAATCCTGAATTACTAGCTTTTGTGGAATTTGAGATGATACCTTTTATGTGAAAGTGTATCTGTCGGATATCGATTAGCTTCGGTGAAGATAGAGTCGCGAAAAGTTATATACATGTAGGACACTAATTCTAATATAAATAGAAGTATATGAAAATGAATAGTCTATCTCCGATATGTTGAAATGTTCTTTCGTTTATTAAATAATTTGCAAATATATCTTTGGCTAATTCTAGTATACTTATAAAATTTTCGAATCTGCTGCTTTCTATAACGTTTTAAAAATTCAGATAATTCAATATATGCCAATCATTTTCTTCTTAAATAGCTACTAGTTTTATTATATAAGTTTAAAAATTTACTTCAATAGATTTAATAAAATATCATAACTCTTAGAAACATATATCTGTGAAAAAATTTAACTTTGATAAAAAGGAAACAATTTGTCATCTAGCGTCATCTATCGAAGTTTGTATATTGATTGGCCATCGAGAATTAATCATTGTCGCCATTAATGGTTGTTTTTATACAATATAACTTATTCATTCGATGTTGTAGACATATTTCAAATGTTGATTCAGTCAGTGCATCTTCTATTTAAAAGATCACATTTATTTTAGATTAGTGTTTTTTTTCCTTATAATGACATCTTCATCACCATATGCTACCAATACGGGCAAACTTCAAGTTTTACCTTCACCTGTAAGTAAATTAAGCAAATTTAAATTCAAAATATTTTTTCTTTCAAGACAACACTATTATTTGCTCAATCAATTAATAATAATGTTACTATTAATAATATGGGAAATACAACACAAAATATTCGTCAAACAAATATACAAAATGGAACAATTCTTCAACAACCAATGACAAATGGTATAATGACAACACCCACAAGTATTGTTAGAGTTAATCAACCGCAAACTATGCAACACCAGACAACAGCTTTAAATCAAGGTCAATTTGTACCTCAAACATTATGGACAAATAGTATACAACAAATACCTCATCATCAATTTACATTGCAAAAACAAACTCAACAACAATCTGGTATTCAATATGCAACTGTTAAAAATGGTAAAATAAATGATCCTATCGAATAGAATCATCATCCTTGTTTGGAAGAGACATTTATAGAGATGGAGAGTCAAGAGCTTTCAGGGAAAAAAAATTTCTTACTATAAAAATAAAATGAAAGTCTATTTTTCTTTTTCATTCACATACTCGAAGAAGCTTTGCATGAAATTTATTCTCTTATGTCTACAATAGAAATAGGTTTTTATTCAAATTCCCTAATGCAAAAAAAAATTTCGAACATTTCTCTTAACGCGCATTTTCGCACGTCGGTAGACTCCGTTCTTCTAGCAATTCATAGTGCATCGAATGATATGTAAGAATTTGTAGTTTTACCATATTTTAATATTCTAAGAAGCAATTTACTAGCTAAAAGATATTATTAAAATTCTGGATAATACATCTCCAATCTAATTCATAAAAATTTTGTTTAAAGTTAATTGAATAAAATTTTCCTTGATCTTCAATCATGTATATCTAGTAGTTCTCACAATGACTTGCTTCGTGTCCAAAAACTGAGCATTTTTACTAGCTTTTATAATGTTTGAATGGTCTATATATTGTTCCTTAGGATAGAGACGACAACTCGTACAGTTTTCTCAGATAAAAGATCGTAATCTTATCCGATAGAATTATTTATTTTTTTTTTTTTTGAATAAACAATTCTTATTTTCGTTTTTTTATTTATTAAGAACCCATGTCAATCAGTGGAATGCAACCACAGTCATCTGTAATACCAACTAAAATTATAACACAGCCAGTTCGTCAAACAGTCACATCACAACAGACCACAACAACATCGACAACATATACAGAATCTCAAATAAATGATTTTGTATCAAAATGTCGAACATTTTTAACTACATTACTGCGATTAGCTGAAAAACAAGCACCAGAAAAATTACCCATGGTTCGATCTTGTATTCAAGAACTTTTGGTATCATCAAAAAGAAAAACAAATTTACGAACATAAATTTGATAATGTTTTTTTTTAATATTTAGGATGGTACGATTGATCCTGAATCATTTACTCAACGGCTTCATACACTTTATAAATCTCAGCCACATATATCACTTGTTCCATTTTTTAAAGTAATTTTCATTTATTTCTTAAGCGTAAAACAAAAAGAAAGCTTAGAAATAGTTTTTGCTATTTGAGTTTAAATACGGGAGCTGTGTTTTTTTTTTTTGGTGACATGTTTCAGGAATATTTCATATCTATTGAGGTAATTAAAAATAATTATACGATTTAATATTGTTTGTTTTTTGGGTTATTATTGCAAAATGCTAGTCTGCTCATTAAATTTAGGGCTTTATGCAAGATTTTTAGGTCGATTATATCATATTTGTACATTTACAGATAGTAAAATTTATCTGAAATCGATTTTATTTTAAATTTTAATTTTGACTAAAGTCGAATACATGAGACATCTATCGACAACCGAAGTTAATAGGTAGTAAAGTGCTGCTGAGTATTCACCGTCTTATTTTGTGCACAGAATGCATATATATATATATAGCAGTTGAATATTTAGTCTAATAAACTGCTATTACCATACACCAGAAAATGAATAAATATTACATCCTGTACAAATCGAGTTATGATTCAAATACCAATGAAGTAAATGAATTTATTTATTAGATTATTTCACGTTAATAAATATTGAGAATGTTTTTTTCACGATATTCATTAAATAATATTCTTAATGTTGAAAAAACAAATTTATTAAAAAATAAAAATTGATATGTATTAGATATGAATCGAATAGAAATTCTAGCTCGGGATTTGGAGACTATCTCACTAGTTGAGACTATGTTGAGTATTTGCCTAAGCTTATCTTGATGTATATGAACAATCATGAAAGTTCGGGCTTGAGTATTTCTGAATACTGTTCACTTCGAAGTGTTGGTCTGACTTATCTTGTAATCCACACTTCACACACTCTTTGTCGAATTCTAGTAATAGATTTTTCATAAAGAACAGACCGGCTAATTTATATCTACTATGACCAACCGTGAAATCATCTTTTTCAGCTTTCTTTTGACTATTACTTAAAAATGATCGTAGTGACATCCCAATCTGAACGTTCGGTGCATGTCTAATAGACACATAAAAAAGTTTTAATAGTTAAAACATTGTTTTTAAATCAAGATTGCTGCTTGTTATTGATCATGAAACAGATTGAATCGAATTCTTATTATTTATTATATGTTTCATAGTAATTTTCAAATATAAAAAAAAAAGGGAACCTAGCTATAATCTGATTTGTATATAATCAAGCTTTTAGTCATTTTTTTGTTACCTCTCTTACTCAGATATTATGGGAATTATATTTTTTGTTGTGTTATTTCAAATGAAACGATCATTCGTTTGTTTGTTTTTTGTCCTATTCTAGTTAGCGTTACCACATATGCGTCAAATTGTTAAAAATACGTTTGGTCGTCCAATAACTATTGAATTATTAGAAAAACTTCAATTACCAGCAAGTAACAGTAATAATAATAATAATAATACAACAAATACAATACAACTAACAAATGCCAATATTGTAAATCAATCATTATTAAATCATCAACAACAACATACAACACCTGTTATACAACAACCATTATATACAACAGTCCAACCTCAACAAAAAATAAATATTCTTCAGCCAACTCAACAAACATTACTCACTTCAACACCATCATTACTTAGTCAACAACAACAACAGCAACAACAAGCACGAACACAAATTGTTTGTTTAATTATTATTTTTGTTTTTTATTATAAATTAAAAAATAAAAATCATTTTAGAGTATAACTGGTATTCGTCCATTAGTTACATCTTTGTCTGGAGCAACAAATACCAGTCTTCTTAGTGGACACCAACAAGTTCAACCAGTAACACAAATGATAATTCAACAATCAGATTCACTTTCACAACGATCATTTTTTTCATCAACCGCAACACTTCAACAGCCACAAATTATACCAGTGAATCATCAACCAATTAAAACAGAAACAATACATACTCAACCATCACCATTAACAACAATATCTTCTATTCAACAAAAACCAATTATTAAGTTAGTTTAATTAAAATATAGAATTTAAAAGAAAATAAATTTTCTATTCTATAGAACTGAAGACGATACATTAGATGATAATAATAATAATTCTGGAATAAATGATACTCGTCATATAACACATGATGATAGATTAATATCTGCACCTGTTTTACGTCGACGTTTACATGAATTAGGTAAATAAAATTATTATTAACTTTTAATCAGTGCAAAGAAAAATCTTTCATTTGTAAAAACTAATTAGTTATATGAAAATTTAAAGTTGATTCAAAACTCTATTATTTGACATTGATATAATTACACCAACAAGAGAAATTCACCAATTGATAAATTGTTTTTGAATTGAGATTGTAGATCTAAATGAGCTAGAAATGCTTTGAAAAAAGTTCGTGTCTTTAGCTTATGATTTCTGAGATAATGCACCTTTAAGAGATTTTTTAAAATGTACACCGTCCTTCAGAAAGCCATTCTCCTTAAAACCTGTCTCTATGCAAAGTTTCAAGTCGCAATTCGAAAATCAATCTTTCTATTACCATAGTATTCATTTAAAAATTTTCGTAAAAATGCAGTGTCTCCACAAGAATAAGTTAGGGACACGAACTCGTTTGAGAATATTCAAAGCTCATTTGAGTCTACATAATGCACAAAGGCTCGATTCAAAAGCGATTTATTAGCTGGATAACCTTCTTCATAAGAAAACATTCAATCCAAGATGAAAATTCCTCTAAAGTGTTTAATCCTAATTGATTCTAAAGCTTTCTTTCAATTTTCTGTACATATAAAATGATTTAATAAAATAAAACTAAAGTTAATAGTTCTTGTTTTTCATTCCAAATCATAGATTGATAGTTCATAGTGTAAAAAGAAAATGTTTGAAATTTTTAATCTTGCAAGAATTTTACTAATATCTTTTGGTTTCTCTAGCTGAAAAAGATAAACGAATGGCAGGTATGATAATTAATGATGATGCAGCTTTTGCACTTATATCCAATGCTACACAAGAACGACTAAAATATTTAATAGAACAAGTTAAATTAATAGCTCAACATCGAATTGATATATCTATGAAGGTATAAATTTATTTTAATATTATTAATCTATTTTTAAAATAATTTATTATGTAGAATGATCCATCATATCAACAAACAAGTGATGTTAAAGGTCAAATAAAATTTCTCGAAGATTTAGATAAAATTGAAAAACAAAAAAAAGATAAATTAGAACAAGAAAAAATCTTTCGAGCTGCAAAAGTAAAACAAATTCTTTTTTTTTTCTTTCAAAAAAAAATTTCAACTATTCTTTTGTTTGTCTTTAGAGTCGTGCTAAAACAAATGATCCTGAAGCAGTAAAATTAAAACAAAAAGCTAAAGAAGTATAATCATATTTTGTTTTTTCTTAATTAAAATAAAATATTTCTTTTTATTAAAATAGATGCAACAAGCACAATTTGAAGAACAACGTCAAAAAGAAGCTAATGAAACAGCATTAGCTGCTATTGGAAAACCAAAAAAACGAAAACTTGAAGAAAGTACAAATCATCCACATCAGACAATAACGTCTTTAAATGGGTCTGAACAAAAATCTCCTATTCAACCATCACCATCATCAGGTGTCAATAATCCAACAAATATTTATCAAAAATCGGTATGTAATTTTTTTGTTAAAACAATGCATAGATTCTACGAGAAATCAAATTTATCTCGTTTTAATTTTATACTTACATACATTTTAAAGCTCTAAGAATATTTTAGGTTCATTTGAGTGTACATGTGTGAAAAGGATATAATACGTCCATGCACATCTATAAGAACTAAAAAGTGAAGTCATAGTAGCTTGAAAAGCATCAAAGTAAAATGAGATAAATTGAATTTCTCGAGAACTTTTTAAACACGAAGAAGAAGAAAATTTTAAATTTTGCTTTTTTTTCTAGAAAACAGCGAAACGCATGTGCCGTGCAAATCTTCGTGATCTATTAGTCATAATGGAACGAGATAAATATCTTAAACGAACAACACTTCTTGTTAGAGCTCTTAGTAAATGATCTTTAATTAAGAAATACGAGAAACATATATATATATATATATATTCAAATGATTTGATTGGTTTTTAATTTAGATAAATCGAACTTATATTATGTAACGTTTTTTCTTTTTTTTTTTTGTGTTTTACATGGTTTTACATGTTGAACACTTTATTTACAAAAAAAAGTCTCTTTGTAATTTCATTATGTACATGTACTTTTCTTTTTGTTGTTGTTTCTTATTTATTCTTGATTCTGTATACTTGGTCTCGATTGTCACAAGGATAATTCTCCTATTTTTGTTTTTTGTACACCTTTCTCTTTATCTCTATTTACAGTGAAAAAAAAGCAACAAAGGAAAAAAAACTTCTCTCGGATAAACATGAATGAACGATTGATTCTTCATTTATTTTTCTTTTTTGTGTTTTTTTGATATTTATGATCTGGTGAAAAGAAAAGATATTTTTCAGAAAGAAAAAAAAAATAATGTTTTCTTTTTTTCTTTATTGAGTTTTTCTACGAGAATAATTATCAAGTTGTCTTATACTTGAATCCGATTAGTTACACTCAGTTTCCATTACATATAAAAAAAGAGAGACATGCATTTAAAACATTTATAAAGATAAAGATTGCTATTTCCGTATCGTTTGTAAAATTTTTATTAAATGTGCAAGCTATGCATATATGAGAATATTTCGTCAAGTAATATAAATCAGTTTTGGAAAGGAATTCTGATTCAGTGAGTAGATCCTATTGAGACTAGAACAAATTGAAAAAGATTCGTGCTCAGCAGTCTTTGTGCTTGAGTATTGATTATTTTTGGTGAGTTTTTCAACGAAAAATTCTCATCAAAATGAAGCTATTGTGAAGATATTAGATTTTTTAGTGTCTTCTCATCTTAGATACTTATATTGAAAACTTGGCTATACGACAACGCAAAAATTTATTTTTATAGTTAGAAAATGTAACGCTTTTATTATGAAGTAATTCTAATGAGTACTTTTACTAAATTGATCATAATTCAATAAGAAAGAATCATGAGAACAAAAGCCTTTTAGACTTTCTCTCGTCTCCATAGGGTTTACCGACTGAAGTAAAATCTATCTCAAAACCGATTTATTACTTGACCAAATTTCCTCGTCAGTTGTGTTTCATTTTTATGAACTCTATCCTTTCATTATTATCAACTGTATAAAAAATTTATCTTAGGACACATCCATTTTTGGTCGCATGACACGTAGAATATCCTAAAGATTTCAACCGAGAATAATGTTTTTTTTTGACGAGATATCGAATTTCCAAAAAAAAGGTCGCTTATTCCAGACATAATACAAAAATCGAGTTTACTTTATCTATGAGCGAAGTTTTACGTTGACATTCTGTTTTTACTAGTCTTACCAAGGCATCCTAGATCGTCACATCATTCGGGTTTTAGACGAGTCTGATAGAAGATGCCTATTTAAATTTTAGAGTTATATTGTTACACTAGAACATGAAATGATAATATTCACCGTAGAGAATTCTTTCATGAAATGATTGAAATTTAAGCCGAAAACGAATAGTAAAGTAAAGATTAATACATAGAAGCGTAAAATTCTTCTAATTAAGTTAAACATTGAGAATTCTTCTGAAAAATGATACTTGTATATTTTCAACGTTTATACCACATAGAAAATTTTGAAAATTGTTTTTGTTGATAATATTTACATTGTCTTGTAATCATTTGCATGAACTTACTTGAACTAAGACTAAAAAACTGATTTTGTTTATATTTTTACATGATGAATGGATATCTTGTTTTTTTGTTTGGTCAAGTTAAATTTGAAGAAAAGTAATATCTGTTTATTTAAACATTTTTTAATCAAATAACAATATTTTCTTTATTTATAGATATAATGGAAGATGTTATTAAAAACGAAAAAGTAAGTTCAATTATAAAAAACGAAACTGATGGTTTAGAAACAGCATGTTATCGTAAATGTCATGGACAGTTTTGTTTAACACCGACCGTAAATTATTTTGAACATGAAATTTCATTAGATTTTTCACCATTCATTGATGATTTAACAAATTATTCATCAGCAAAATATGAACGCATTGAGTCTTTACTTAAATCAGATCATTCAATTAGTCGAATAAAAAATTTAATTCTCAATAAACATATTACATCTACAGATCTATGTTTATACTATTTAAAACGTGTACACATGACAAATAATTATTATAAAATTATTATTGAACTTAATCCACATTTACTTTCTGAAGCTAAACAATTAGATGAACAAGTCAATGATAATAAAATCAATAATCAATTACTATTATTTGGTTGTGTTGTTGCTGTTAAAGGTAATATTAGTGTACGTGATATGTACAACGATGCTGGCTCTTATGTACTTCATGAAAATAAAATGAAAGATGATGCACCTGTTGTTAAGAAACTGCGAGAACAAGGTATAAATATTAAGCGCCTACTTCTCATTTGCGAACATGAATAAAATTACTTTAAATTTTCGCTTGATGATAAAATTGACAAATTTTGATAGTTTTCTGTAAAACGATTAGAAGTCATACTGAGGTCTTGAAAAACTTGTATCATATTTGTAGTGATGTAAAATGGATGAAGAGTTGTAACCGGTTAAGAATTCTTGAACTATCATTTAAGTGGTCAGTACTAAAATTACCTGTAATTAATTGCACAATAATCCGTTTATTAAATATAAGTAGCAGTAAAAAATTTCAATTTATATCAATAGAAAATAAATTTGAACGAAACAAAGAACCTCAGAAGAAATTTAAAGAATAATTGAAAAAAAAAGAATATGAAAATTGAATTATTGTATTAGTACACTTGTATAATTGCTTGTAGCTCATGAGCTAGTATATAATATTTTTTCGTAGATTGATTGTGTAGCCAATATTATTGTATTAACTGAGGATGAATCTCTTTCGGTGACCAATTATTTATAATATTTGAAGAAACTGTTAAAAATTTCTATCGAACGTAGCATTCTCGCAACGTTCCATCATCTATAATTATTTTATTGGTTGCCTCTAGGGCATTGTTTTACACCTAGTGCAGACAGTTGTATATCTTCATACCAACCTTCATTTGATTTGAGTCATTTTTTGCTAGACTTCTCTTATTTTCAATTATTTCATGATTTTCTTTCACCTTTTCTAACTTTTCCCTTATCCTATCCTACAGGGTACAATTAGATAGAGTATCCCTACACATGTCTAGTTCATAGTGGCCGACTCTTTAAAACAGTTTCACTAGTAAATTGCCTACAACTTTTAAAAAAATCTCTAGCTTCATCATTAATTGAATGTACAAGTTTTATTGAAATGGATACGAGTTAATTTTCAAATGAAAACCTTAAAATTTGGATGATTTCTTTTATTTAAATTTTTAAAAAATCATTGAAACTGGGTTAAACAGGTTTTTTTTATTTTGATTTTGTGTTCGCAAATGAGAAGACGCACATAAAATTAATTTAATTCAAATAAATTAGTTTCGTTGCTTAGGTTGTATTATACTTGGTCGAACCAATCTATCTGAATGGGCATATGGATTCACGGAAAATGCTCCATCAGGTTTTTCAGCTGTAGGAGGTCAATGTCTTCATCCAGATGATATACATGAAGATGTTAGTGGCTCATCTAGTGGTTCAGCAGCTGGTATTAAATTAAATCTTTTTACATTTTCATTAGGTACGGAAACTCAAGGATCATTATTATCACCAGCAATCAATGTAAAAAATGTTTGTACACTTAAACCGTCACTTGGTACATGGCCAACACAAGATATTATTCCAATTAATTATGACCAAGATTCATGTGGTCCTATGACACGATGCATTAAAGATGTTGAATTATTACATAGAATCGTTTCAGAAATTAAAGAGAATAATGATAATTATAGTCGATCACTTAGAGTTGGTTATCTTGGTAAGTTTAATGAATAGAACAAAAAAAGAATCTAGCTTTAATTAATCAAAACTTACAAAAACAATTTTTTTTATGACAAAATTTATCTTGTATATTTAATGACCTTATGTTAAATTACATGGGAAATAGCAGATTTTATGATCTTGAGAGTCATGTAAATGCAGTTGATATCTTTGAATAAATTAGTTTCATCCTCTAGACTATAACAGTTGATGATAAGATGCTTGACATTATTATAAGAACATGTTCTAACAATATTTTTTATCTCTTGATAAAACATATCATCAATGCATCATTCGAAAACTCAGGTACATTTGATGACGTTGATACTCGCGCTTACGTCAAAATTATCTATTCTGTTATTGTTTAAATTATCCGATGGTAGAATTAATTATGTGTTCTACATCTGATTTCTTTCAGGTCAATTACAAGATGGCATTGCATTACTTCAAACACTTTCTGGTCTATTACCTCTGACAACACTAGTCAATTTAAATAGTGATCTATCTCTTGCTCAGCCAATAGCATCCGTATTAAATCCAACTAGTTCTTGTAATACAACATTTACTGATGTTCTTTGTTATGCTCTTGCACGTGATATTCCATCATATTTATCAAAGCATTCATCTTGTTATTCTCATCAAACTCTTTCATCTATTATTGAATGGAATTCATCTCATTCACAATATATTCCTTATGGCCAATCATTATTTATACGAGCTTTAGAATCACCAATTACAGAGGAAGCATATGATAAATATAAAAAATCAGTTGAAGAAGCCTTTCAATCATTAATTAATTATCTTAAATCAACATATTCTCTTGATTGTTTAGTAACAATTGGTAATGATGATATATTTTCTGGTACAACAATATGTGGTATTCCACGTGCTAATTTAACACTTGATTATTATAATCCTGAACATAAACAAATAAATGTTGTTGCTATTGGATTTTCTCATGGTGATGATCTTCTTCTTCTTCGTTTTCTTCAACGTTTAGAAAGAGCAAATCTTCAAGCTGGACAAATTGATACACGAACAACGTTTCAAAAATATATTCAACATCCAATTATATCTGCTTATAACAATAGTTGCTCAATACTTTAAATAAAACTTTTTATAAACCTGGTGCTTTTGCTTGACTTTTTTTAAATGATCACTGACTGACAAAAAAATGTGTTCACCTTTGTAGAAGAATATTTTATTTAATGCAATATCCTTTTCTTTTCAAATTATATTCTGAAATATCCGTATTTTTAGATTTCTAAAAACTTGTGCGACGTCTAATAATTGTAATGACTGATAATAGGGATGATAATCGAATTATTCAGCGAAGTAATTCATCACCATCTGACAAATATATTGAAGATAATGAAAAACCGGTAACATTAACATCAATTACAACACCAACAGCATTTGATTGGGAAAGTGATAAAAGACGTTCGAAACCTTTTGATGATGGAACAATAAGTTTTTTTTGGCGTGCACATACTATAACATGTCTGGTTATAGCTTTGTCATATTTATTCTATGTTGCTATTTTGGAACAACCATCGGAGGATTCGACTTATAATACGAAACGGTAAATAGAGTTCGTTTCGAACATGATTTTGATTTATAAGAAAGAAAAAAAAAATATTAATTATAACATTATTTATTTTATATAAATCGCAATGTGAAGGGTAAATGTAGAGAATTTTGAATTTCCTTTTCTCAAAAAGTGCACTCAAGTATTTGAACTATCGTTTTAATAAATTTTTATAACTGTCAATTGAAATTTTTTAACTCCAAGTTAAAAACATTTGAACTATTCGAGCAAAATTAAAAGAAATATAGAAGAAATAAAAATTACTAGAAAAAGTCCAAGACACCATCATTTGTAAATATAAGGACAAATAGATTCAAAACTTTAATTTTCGAAAAATGATATATTTTTGAAGGGTAATTTTTCGTACAGACCTCTATATTGAATAAAAAAGCAAATCCTATTGAAATTCTGAATTGTAGTTATATTATATGCAAAGTAAGTACCTTAAAATTTGAATATCCAAGTCACTATGTGTCGCAGAAGCTGATATTTTTAATCTGTTAGTTTAGGAGTAAAAACTTTAATTTGACCTAAATATGTCCAATGTTTTTAGCTTGTAGTACAAATCCTTCGATTATATGTGATGCAACAATTTTTCCTACTAGAATAGTAAAGCACTAAAAGATATTATCAAGTATACCGTAATGTTAATGTTGAATTAGTATTTTTTCAGTTAGTGAACACCAGTTTGAAGTAATTTTTTAAATTTTCGAAGTCTTATTTTGAGTACTATGTACAATAGATTATTGCTAGTTTTGAAGTCGACCGATGTTATTTGCTTACATTGTTCTTCCGTTGAACTTAGCACCTTTATATACAATCATATTGATTGTATTTAAAACTCAGTTTGGGTAAGATAAACTTATCTTCGAGAATATGCAAAATATCCATCGTAGCTGAAAACCTATCACACTAGATATCTTTGGAGAATATAATTCCTAGATTAGAAAAGTTTTATTCTCTTTTTTATATGAACCTAAAATATTATACGTAAGAAAAAAAGAAATCANTCTTGGCTATAAATACTATAGATTTAGTCTGAAAGGATGTTAGAACTAAGTCTAAGAGAGAGTTGCTCTATATATTATTAAAGACGAGACGTTATACTATATATTGCCTTAGTAAAATATTCAATATTTATTGCTTTATTAAATTTTAAAAACTGTGATCAGAACTTTTGGTATACCCTAAGTAATAGGAATCTTAGCGATCGTATTAATAAGGTAGTAAAAATATAGATGTGCGCACACAATCTTATAAAAATAAATTATCTCAGTCGGATTCGAAATAGTATTCAAATACAGGATCTTCCGTAAGTCCGTTGAGAAAAACAACGTTAATGACTCTTGAATAATGCAAGGCTTATACATGAGTTTTTCTATTATTCTATTCGATTTTCTTTAATTTTTTTTCGGATAATTTGTGTTCGCTGTTCAAAAGGCCGACACTGAAATAAAACTTGCAAGTTCACAGTTTTCAAATTTTGGAAAATAAAAATTTTAGATAATGAGTATGAAGTTCATTGAAAAGGACTATCTCTTTGAGTTTGCATGTCGGGAAAAATATTGTCTTGAAACTGATGTAGTTCATTTTGTTGAACTACTTACTGAGTTCTATCATAATTCTGAATGTTATTAAGAGAAAACATTTCAAACGGCTAGCACACTTCTTGCCGATTCACTTTCTTTAGTAACATGAACTGTATCGATTGTGTTCTTCTGTTATTACGATAGGATGTTCAGAATGCGACTAACCTGCTCAAGTTTGAGTTTCATACAAACGTAAAGAAACCTTGGTAATATCATCTGCATTTACCATTTCTGTGTCAAACAATCATATGTGACTCAAATTCAGCCATCAATAGAAGTATTGCAATTCTAATTTTGATAGACAAAAACATTTGATCTGAACTATGTTGGATAAAACTTAAAGAAACATTGAACGAAAGCATAGAAAATCCATGCAAATTGCTTGAACTATTCAAGAGCTATTCACCTTGTTTTTTTTTTAATCTCGGTTGACTTTTAGAAAATCTTGTAGACAATGGCTAATTGCGTTATTGTGAAGAAATAGAAAAATATGTTGAGTGTGTAAGTTAAGTACCTTCTCTTTACCCACACCAAAAAAGGCGGAAGTCTTTTATTCAAAAAAATATGTTATTCTTAACGAGGTAACTATAAAGATCTGGTTAAAGAAGCTTAACTGATTTTTCAGTTTTAAAGTATTTAAGAAAATAAGAAGATATTGTTGAATTAAAAAAATAGTTATTCTACTGGGATCTTAATTATTTTGATTATATAGCTCTAGTTTTAGTCGAATTCCAATCTTGCTCTAGCGAAATTTGGAATTTTCCCAAATCTCAGTTTTACAACATATATGTTAAATTTTAGATCAAACAAGAAGTACTATTCGTAAAACTTCATCTTCTACAGTTTCACCTAATATAATGCCTACACCTTTATCAAGATCATCTTCTATTCCAGTATATGTTACTGATGAAGTTGACATTCGACAATATATAGTTACTGATCCAGAACGAATTAATCGAACATCATTACATATTAATTCTCTACCATTTACTTTTCGTATACTCAATCGAAAAGAACAAATGATTCAACAACAAGCTATAAGTGATCATATTACATCTTCATCACTGATGAACTTATATGGTTAGAAAGAAATATTAATATTAAAAATTTGTTTTTTAAATAAAAGATTATTTACATAGAAGATAATCCATATGAATTCAATGAAAATGAACTTGTCCTTTTTAAACAACATCTTTCTTCACTTAATCTTGATTCATCATTTATATTAGAATTAAAAAATTGTATACATCAATTAGCTATTGAAAATAAGCTTGATAAAATTGAAGTTTGTGATATACTTATGAAATTAGATTATAAAATAATACATAACCAATTATATAATAAAGATATATTAAAAACTATACAAAATTTACAAGAAGCAGCATCTCATAATACACAAAAAACATCATTAACAAATTTATCAAATTTAATGAAAATGCTTTTTCGAATAGATTATTTAGAAAAATTTAATAAATTAGATAAGCAAAAAATTCATATATTTAATCAACGTATAAATCATTTGTACGTCAATTAATATTTAAGAATAAACTATTTTATTTTATAATATTGTTTATTTTTCCATAAGAGCACGTATGGGTAAATTAAATCAACAATTGAAAATGTTAAAAAAACTTTTTCAACTTGATCTATTTCAAAATGAACCTAATCAACAAGTTTTTGCACAATTTATTGACGATGATGTACAACGTATTATTCCAAAACAAATACCACTGAATGATTTAGGTTGTAGTATTTCAAACTTTTCTATCTGAATTTTTATGAAAATAACAATTAATAAACACTTTTGTCACATATACTGTACGCTGTTTAGGATGAGGAGAGTTTTCTTTTTGCTTCAAAAAATATTATTTTGCTGATGTTTGATATCTCTTACAAAAAAAAAACATACGTTTTTTAGGGTATCTTTGATAGTTTGACCTTTCTATTCTAAGAAGAAAAAAAAAATAAAAAGATGCTCATCTCAAACAGTGTCCAGTTTCTGTAAAAAATATTTTCAAATCAATCGAACGTAGTATCTCGAAGAAACAGGGACGGAGCATTGTGATTCGAGTATCTCATAGAAAACAGCATATCATGACTCGTTCTTCTGAAATCTCGGAGAGAGGGAAAGAATGTACCTTTAAGATCTTAAATGAAATATTCATTTATTTAGGCATAAAAGAAATTATTCATCAACTTCAATTAAATATCGATCGTTTAGGACCAATAACTACACTTATTCTCATTGATAATCTTCAACAATTAGTTCATTCTGGTTTATTATTAACTATAACTAAAACACCACAATTGAAACGATATTTAACAGAATTTACAGAACATATACAAAATGGTCGATTTATTGGAACCCGTCTTCAACGTCTTATTGAACAAATCAATCAGAGTATACAAATGAATACAACTAAGAAAGTTTTATTTACTAATCAATTAGATCTTTCATTACAAAAGACTAACTTAATATTAAAAGATGAGAATACAACATCAAAGAATAGTTATGATGAATTAATTTCTATCTTAATGAATTTAGCTTATAAGGGACAATTAAATACATTCGCTAATGTTGTTACACAGCATATAACAATCAAAGAACAAAGTATAAGAAAATAATGTTTTCTTAATTTGAATAATAAATAATATTTAGATCCGTTAACAACCATCTATCAACAAGCTGATATCGAAAATAATAATCTTCAATCCATAATTAACTTTCTTTATGAACAAACTTCTTTAGCATCACCATCGGGTCATCTTTCCTATCAATATATTTGTGATTTTATTCAATATCTTCGTCATTTTGCACAATTAGGCATTCTATATGAACCACAAATTTTCAATATATTAATTTATTTACATAAAGCTAAAGATAAAAATCATATTAATGTAGAAACATTTAAAAAGATTTTAGAAAATATGAAAACTGTTCATTATGTTTATGCGTATAATCATTTGGATTTGATTGAATTTGATAAATTTTTAAATGATATGGTTTTTGATGGTAAGAGAAAAACGAACAAATATTTCAGAAAATTCATATAATACACAATGGTTTATTCAGTTGTGTAAAACAACGCGAAAACATTCTTTGGTTCAATCTTAAGCTTGATGTTGAAACAAACAATAAACTTAAATTCATTGATGTCATTAAAAAACGACTATCTGTGACTAGAATTTTCTTTTCAACATAAAAAAGATGTCAATTAGCTCCTTGAAAAATAAACTTGGATTAGATGTTCCAAGTCATCTTTTTCTTTGAAAAACCAAGAAAAAAACTTATCTTTTATAATATTGACCGAAAACAATGTTCATATCTTTCATTTCATCTTTCTTTTCGATATTTTTTTCTGCCTTTTTCGTCAATCCAAAGTTAAAGATTTATAAACAAAAATTGTTTTTTAAAGCTATATAGCCAAAGAATCGCATGTA